ATGCAGTAGTAGTATTGTCCTCTATACCAGAGTGCATTCCAATAGTCAAAAACAGTTAAAATACAACAATAACATAATTACAATGATAAAAACATACAGTAAGCAATGATCATTCAATAAGGCAATAAACAGACAATCAAAATAGCTATATAACAATACAATAATTAAAGTAGAGTAATTCTATCCCAATAATTGCCTGTTTCCATGGTCAACCCCTGTGGTTCCAGGCTGAACAAGTAGGTTTTTGTTTGAATTTGTTCAACTCTGATTACACGCGAAGGTATTGCAGAAGGGAATTCCATAATTTTGGGGCCAGATGAGAAAATGCTGTAAGTCTGGAGTTAGCCACCTTGGTTCAAGGGACTAGGACAGGACCTGGAAATGTTAGTCTTATTTTGGACTACAACTCCCAGAATTCCCTAGTCAGTTTGGCCATGCTAGCTGGAGGAACCTGAGAGCAGTAGTCCATAACGAAACTTTTCAAAGCTCTGGTCTTGCCTGGTACCATGTACAAAAGACCTGATCAAATGCCTATGGCTAATACCCAGCAATAAGCCATTCTGGGAATTTTATTTCAAAATATCTCACCTATTGATATAAACACTTCAACAGGAGAAAGAGGTTGGGACTCTGATTCCCCACTGTGTGTTCCTGAAGCTGCTGGACTCAGTGACTCATAGGGCCCCTTCCAGCTTTGCAATTCTATGATCATCCATCCATCCATCCATCCATCCATCCATCCATCCATCCATCCATCCATCCATCCATCCATCCATCCATCCAGCCAGCCAGCCAGCCAGCCAGCCAGCCAGCCAGCCAGCCAGAAAGATAAACAGCAAATATTTTTCAGCATATTACACAGATTGCTCACCTGATACTATGATGTCCCACATATTTAGTACTTGATAGACTGCCTGAATTGTTTAATTTATTACCTGTCTCAGAACCTGATATATCAGGAACCATTCTTCACATTTTATTAGACAAAATAATGTACCCAGGTGAATCACCCGGGAACCTACATTTTCCATGTGGAATACCAGAACATAACTATCACTAGGAACACCAGTCCCTAGTGAGAAAACAGGCAGAATTCTGATGAATCAGGCCTTGCCTTTCTTTATTCCTATTTATACTGAACGGGCTACATGATTCCTTTGACAAGCATAGATCCGTTTTGCTGAATTTGTCTGCCCAGAAAGTCACACAAGTGAGCTAAACCAACTCCCTTACAGCTTGCATCCACTCCCCACTTTTTTAAAAGCAAGCCTGGGTTTTTTTTTCATGGATTACAGTAATTGCTGGGTGAGTGTGCCTGAAGTCTGGGCTGGGCTGGGTCTTTTAAGCTGCATTCTTCCAGGGAGTTCAAAAGAGATACAAAGAGCCAGATACCTCTTTCGGTGGAGCTAGAGGGTGTGCTGCAGGACTTAAAAGATGCCTGCTCCAAAGTTTCTTCAGCATTCACGCCAGGCTCCAGTTCTGAACTGGGTGGTGGGAAAGACGCCCTTGGGTGCCTTCCGTCTCAGCCACACAGTCATTATGAGTTAAGTCTCTTGGCTGCTCTCCTTAACAGTTGTAACAGACACATCACAACGCCTTGGGCCTCTGCTCCTTGCTTCCTTGGCGTTATCTTGCATTCCTCTGAGCCGCAGAACATGTCATTAGTGCATCTGCTTTGTGCAAGCATTCACCTCCGACCCATCATTCATTCCCACTGCAAATCATTTATGCTCATTTTTATTTATTTGTGTGCTCATTTCATAGGATCCTGCACTGCCATATTCATTGTTGCTATTGTCAGCATGTTCTGGCAGTTCTAGTGTTGGACTAGGATTCAGGAAACCTGGGTTCAGATTCCTACTTGGCCATGAAGCTCAGTGGTTGACCCAAAATCTGTCATAGTCTTTGAGTTTAACCTTCTGTGCAGGATTGTTTTGAGGATAAAGGAAGGAAGGGCTCCTAGGTGGATAGGCATCAATATCTTTGTCATCATTTCAATCAAAGAATTTAAGGCTGTGCGCTGGGCCAGTTTATTCTTACAGTAAATCTGATGCCAGGTTTAGGGCATGCAACAGTGACTGATCAAGATATTTTACTCCCTGAGGCAAAGGATAATTCCTGCTGTAAAAGTCAACTGGATGGAACTGGCTATACTATATAATCTACTGTACATGCAATAGATTTCTGCAATAGATTTCTGGGAGTTGTAGTTCAAAACCACTTCCAAACTCTGATTGGGACACAAAGTTAAACCACTGTTTGGTATTTTGGGAATGAACCTCTTGCTCTCACCCTCCTCTCTCTTTTGACTTGGCCAGACGGAGAAGAATGGGAGCTTTTATTTTTGTACTTGTTTTGTCCCAGTTGAGAATGGTGTTTACGGTTAATTAAGGTCTTTCTGCCCATGCTGAAGTGGTCATGCAATATATTCCAATGTACAAATTTCATGCTGTTGGCAGTAGCACTGGGTGAATTACAGTCACATCAGTAACACAGCATTTAGACAACCATTTTGTCTGGGGTTCAAAGTAAACCCATGCATACCCAAGAAGAAAGCGATTGGCCTCAGATCACAGCACCGATGTATCCAGCCTACTGAGAATTTTTTCTGGAGGAGGAGAGCATCGGAAGGAAAGCTGATAGTAGAATGGCAGATACATGATGGATTTGGTATGTGTAACTTGGGCCACTGAAACTAAAAGGTACTAATTAAGCTTTTATAGATAAAATATTCTGCCTGAAGTAGCCTGCTGCTTAGGAGAGTAAATTGCAACTTTTTCTTTTCTTTTATGCCTCTGGTCTTTCGTTGTCTGGATGGAAGGCACCATACAGAGATAACATGCAACACACACAGTGGCTGAAATCCAGTTGTTTAGCATAGTACGTTGCAACTAGAGTAGGCCCACTGAATCAGTGGGAATTTGGTGAGTTAACTCCTCTATACATTCAACTGATTCAATGGGCCAACTCTAGTTGCAACTGGATTTCAGCTACAGAAAGCTTGCCCTAGTATAGCATAATTTTTACTCCCCCCCCCGTTTAACAGCTGATACCACCCCTCCCCTATTAACACATCAGAAGCAACTTTTGAACACTCTCCCCATTTCAAAATTAACTCACCATGTTGCCTGGAGCAGCACTGTTTTTAGGAAACAAAACTACAGCTTTGCCTGGTTCACAAACAGCTGGTATAAAAGCCCCTTGGATCCTTGCCAAGACCTTAATAGCCTTGCACATTAACCTTTGAACAATAATGATTAACACAGCGTCACCAAAGAATCAGCCAGAAGATGAGGAAGTATACATGCTTCTTCAATAGATATGGCTGTATGAGACGGATGGGTGAGAACTAGATTTAGCAAATTTTGTAAAAGAACTTTCCCAAATATGCAAATTGTTCATATAGTAGAATGAAACAAGAGTGTTTTCAACCTCAAAGGCCAAGTGTTGGAGAAAGAAGAACAAGCAGATTCATCCATCCAAACATAGGGCTTTGAGTGTTTAGTTCTTAAAACAGTACATCTTCAGTTCACCAGTTCACTTACATTCCACGTTTGCAGAATTAGCTTTGCCATCTCTCCACCTCTGCTTCTCTCACTGAAACCTTTAACAGAATTACAACACCTTTCCATGCTGAGAAAATCTGTGGTCTTCTTGAATTTGACTAGTGCACAAAGCTGAGAATTTTGCTTCTTTCGTTTTTTGAGAAGTACTTAAGAAAATCCACACACTTCTTCGGAAATCTGATAGAAAGGATTCTGAGATCTTGAAAAACTGGACAAATGTGCCCATTCCTATTATTTGAATATTTGGCTGCCACTGGAAAAAAAAGTTATGTCCACATCAACTTCTAACTGCTTTGACTATTATGGGTGAACTCATTATGGCTTAAGACCCGGTCATGATGCTTTGTTTTGTTTGATGCTTTCTTTACAGTTGAACAAAAGGACAGATGGTGCCACTAGAAGAACTTGAGCTGCTCATCATCATCTGAAAAGCTTATAGGAAGGGCCTGAGTGGCTTATCTCATTATTACTATGCAGGCCAGATGGTCATCTGAGCAGACTGGCCATGGTCCTAATGTAAGATGTAGGTAAAGCTATCTACACAGATACTGGAACTTGACACAGATCCTAAGCATCAGTGGACCCTTGACTTACAGACGGCTTGACTTACAGACTTTTTGAGTTACAGACTTCTCTGGCCACAAAATTTAGGTTTGACTTGCAGACTGAGATTTGACTTACAGACCAGAAAAAAACCAAAATGGAACAAAAACGGCCTGTTACGGGATTAATCGGTTTTCAATGCACTGTAGGTCAATGGAGACTTGACTTACAGACTTTTTGACTTGAGAACCGCCTTCCAATATGGATTAAGTTCTCAAGTCAAGACCCCACTGTAATGGTGCCACCATTGGCTGTATTTATGAAAGTATTCCTTATAGTTGTAACACACAAAGCTCTTCGTCTGTATGTGGTGGAGAGAAGGGATGAATCTACTATGAAACTAATTAAGGTTAAGCTTCAGGACCCCAAATCCTGGAGGGGACCCAGAAGTAACTTTAGTCCATTTAAAAAATAATAATACTGTAATTCTGTTGATCTGTCATGGAACAACCCCATTGAAGAAGATGCCAGTGGTTACCCAGATTTTGTTGCTGGTTGTGAAGGGTTCAGGTAGTTCAAACTTCAAGGAATGGTGGAAAGGGAGCGAGGATCAACTCTAGCCACTTATTCACCTGACTTTGAATGGATTTGAAATTCACCTATTGGCATCAAAGCTCCTGAAGGATGTCAGACAGCTTCCTCTTTTGTGTTTCGGAAGAAATACACAGTGTCTAACTAACCAACCTTCAGATATGAAGTCTCTTTTTATAGGGGTTAGGCTAGATCTGAAGTGGCCAACCTCCAGCTGGCGGAACACACCCATAACTCTTGCTCTCATGCCCAATGAACTTGCCCCTGCCATATTTATCTTTTTAAAAATCTCTCCTTTTAAATACTGAAAGCGCGGGGGGGGGGACTTATTCACACCCTCAAGCGGCCAACATTTTCAAAATATTATGAAAAAAATTACAAAAAGTTTTAGGAAGTGGGTGGATGCTTGAGAGAACCCCCCCCCCAAACAAAGCAAAATTGCCTTCCAGAGGGCATAAAAATATCTAGGAATTCTTTTTTTTAAGAGGTAAAGGTAAAGTTTCCCCTTGACAATTTTTGTCCAGTCTTGTCCAACTCTAGGGGGCGGTGCTCATCCCCGTTTCCAAGCCATAGAGCCAGCGTTTTGTCCAAAGACAATCTTCCGTGGTCACATGGCCAGTGCGACTTAGACACAGAACGCTGTTACCTTCCCACCGAGGTGGTCCCTACTTATCTACTCGCATTTGCATGCTTTCGAACCGCTAGGTTGGCGGGAGCTGGGACAAGCGACGGGCGCTCACTCCGTCGTGTGGATTCGATCTTACGACTGCTTGGTCTTCTGACCCTGCAGCACAGGCTTCTGCGGTTTAGCCCACAGTGCCACCACGTCCCTCTTTTTTTTTAAGAGAGTGAAAAAAAATTGGAAGCAGAGGTTGAATGCCTTTGGGCTTCTGTGGACCTTCACGCAGTCCCATACCCTGCACTTTGCCCATCCCAGACTAAATGGTGCAGGCCTCTGCCAAGTCTGATAGTCTTGTCATTTATCAGTACTTTTTTGTAATGAATGTCTCTTTGACCCTTTCTCTGTGTGATCCCCACTCCTCAAGCATGTACCCAGTAGTGTACAGAGTCTTGAAATTCTGTATAATGCATCTGATGAAGTTGGCCATGGCTTGTGAAGGCTCATGCTATAATAAATATATTTCTCTTTAAGCTGCTACAAGATTTTATCCTCATTCTTGCCACTTTTGTGATTCCAACAGCCCAAACAGAAGTGAAGCTCCTAAATGCAACAGGACATACTGTATTGGGTGATGATGAATACATTGAGCAGCCCTCTAAACCAGCAAACGATGCGCGCTTACTCTAGGAAGCCCCAATGAACCCCACAGGATTGTGTTGTGGTTGAAACCAAATTGCAGAACTGCATTTTAGTGCCTCGTTCCCCATCCCCTCCAGCGTTGTAGTGGAACAAACTACAGAAACTTCTAAGGAAGAAAAGAGACAAAGGCAGAAGGGGCGAGAGGAATCTTGCCAGCTTTGGTCGGTGAGAGAGTTCCCTGATAAATGAATTAGCATCTCGGCAAGGAGATCGCTTTGGGGCTGATATCGATCAGGCCGAGGCAGCGTGTTTGCCTGGGATTGTTTGGAGGGGGGGGGGATAATTGAGTGTCAGTCTCTGTCTGTGTCGTCTTGCTGGCGCCGGGCGCTTTTTTGCATTTGCTAATTTTCACTCGCTGTCTTCAGTCGGCTACTCCCGGCACATCTATATCCCAGGCTCCTGCTGGTCAACCCGTCCGTCTGACTAGGCTTTATTGATCAGGACGAGAAAAATACACAGAGCAGAGGGGAGGGGAAGAGTCTGTATGTTTTGGGGGGGAGAAATGCTTTTGTTTCACCTCCAGGAAAGGAATTTACTGCGGTTATCAGGCTGTCTGCTTGTTTTGCAAAGCCCGCCTGATCCTAGCCTCTAGTCCCCGGGGCTGGCTTAGCTGAACGTCTCCCCAGCCTTCTGGCCTTCGTAGCTTCTCCAGATCTTGCTGGATTGTAGGCTCTTAACAATTTGGGGAACCACTACCCCCCCTCCCATTCTCCTGCCCCGATTCCCACGTGCTGTGGGGGTATAATTGGACTCCTCGGCGGGAAGTGGTTGGGATTGGGGCTCTCTCCCCAAATTAAAAAGAGCAACGCCTTAAAAAGCACATCGGGACGTGTCCCTCCCGGATCCCCAGCAGCTCACTTAGCTTAATTGCAACTCCCCCGTTTGCACGCCTAATTACAACGCCCAACCCAGGAGAAAGTTAAAGGCGATCCCCCCTCGGTGACATGTCCCAGGCACGCCCCGGTTTGTTGCCGAGGGCTTCTGGTTTTGAGTGATGGGGCGCCTGCACCAATGAAAGCAGTTTGAGGGAGGGGAAAAGAGGAGGCGCAAGGGGCGGGCCCAGGTGGGCCAGGCGGCGGGGCGGTCGCCTTATTTACCGAGAGAGCGCAGGGCGAAAAGTGCAAGCCAGGCGGCGGCGGGTTGCGTGCCTTTCTCCCCTGTCGTTGGAAGGCCGAAGGGGGGGGGGGAGAGCGTTTGCAGCGTTGGCGCACGACGGCGATCCTGCTCCAAAGCTTCCCGTTCTCCAGATGTGGTTGCATCTGGACTTGGATTCTCCTCTGGCGTGAGCGGCCTCGCCTCCCTCTCTCCGCCGAAGCTGGGCTCCTCGGAGACCGGAGTGGGGCTGGGCGATCCCCGCAGCGAAGCCCCAGGCGCTCCGGAGAGACAGGAAAAGGGGTCCATGCGCTGCCTGGCCGGTGCGTTTCCTCGCCGCGTCGTAGGATAAACCCAGCAGCGCTGGAGGGCCCTCCGGAGCAGGGAGGACTCCGGCGGTGGCGGCGAGGAGGAAGGCAAGCGGGAGGGTTTAAATGGATCGCCACTCCAGCTTCGTCTTCATCTGGCTGCAACTGGAGCTGTGCGCCATGGCCATCCTGCTGACCAAAGGTGAGCCCACAGCTGCGGTGCAGAAAGGTTTCCTCCTTCGGACTACAAATCCCAGAATCCCCCAGATTGGGCGGATCCTGGGAGTTGTCCACCGAAAAGTTTTTCCCGGCTCCGGAACCAGACAGAGCAAGTCCAGAGGGGTGCCGCCCCTCCGGTTTCCTTCGGTGGAAATTATTCGTTCTGGAGGGGGGATTTGGGGGTACCGCGGTGGTTGTTTAATTCCGAGCTGCCGGGAGTCTGTTATAGAGAGAAAGGTTGGAGCGGAAACCGAGGGCGGGTTCACAGAACAAGGGTGGGTGAGGGTGGCTGAGAAGAGCCAGCGTCCCTTGTCGGTATTTTGACACGCCAGTCTGGATGCGACCCTGGATGATTTCCTTGCGTCTGCCGCCTACGTTTATGTGTACCCTGAAGTCTTATCCCGCAGATATTAGTGGGGAATTATTCTCAAAGAAAAAGGGTTCAGAACAGCAGTCTTAAGTTCATCGAGGCGGCGGTCCTGCTGAGTGCAGTTCTAATGAAATTCTGCGTCAGCGGGGTCAGGATCGCGTCCTGAACTGGTTGCCTGGACCTTCGTGCGGGTAAGACTCCCGTGGTCTCTGACTGTGCCCGGTTTATGAACGTTTAGGCTGCCTCCCCATCATTGGAGTCACTGCCGGGTTCCTTAGAAAACTGGGAGATTTATTGAGATTAAGAGGGAGATGGGGAAACCAAGGGGGGGGATACGTGTGGTTTTGAAGGGCGACGCGGCGGGCTGTTGAGCGCCTGTATCCATGTGGTTTCAAGGGAGGATCTCGATCGGTGCGGGACGATAGATTAGTAAGAGTTGAAGTGAGGTTTGTAGGGTCAGGGGAGGGCGATCTTGGGCGGGTATTTTGAGGCTGTTTCCTCCCTCCTCTTGATAAACGATTGGGTGCAAGATGGGTGGGGAAACGGAGACTAGGCGGCGGAGCCGGGAATCGTGTCTCTTGGTTTATTATGAACGTAAGTCGCGATCCGAAGCCAGTGGGACTTAACCCCGCAAGGGGTGCTTAAGCCCCGGCACTTAGATGTTATGTTGGTTCTTCCGGGTGCTTCGAAGCCTCATGTGTAAGCTAGCGAGTCGACGTAGTACCTAATCCTGAGCTTTTTAAAATTTATTTATTTTTTACAATCCAGCTTCGGATTTTAAGTGTGCGTAGCGGCTTGCCCTCTCAAGTAAATGCTCGTAAGGACTACCGCTGCAAACGCATCTCTGTTTCCTGTAGGGCTGCAGTTCTGGTCACGCTTTCTTCTTCCTGGCAAAATCCCTTTGGGTTCGTTCTCCCGGGGCTTCCTTCCGAGCAGAGATGTTTGGGGTTGAACTAGAGAGCCTATCAGAAACCCGACATTTCGCTTAAATCCGGGAGGGTGGCTGAGGAGTGGGTGCCATTCCGGACCCTGCCATGAATGAGTGGCCTGCTGCGCTCTCCCTCTTTTATCTCTAGGCAACCCTGTCTATTTCCTCCTGTCGAGAAGCACAAAATGAATGCTTCCCTATTCCATGCTCTACGAAACTGCTTTTTAAAAAATGTTCTTGGCGTGCGAGATAAGCTGCGGCAAGACCTGCGAACGCCAAGTCCCAGCGCCGAGCATGTGCCCCTTGCCATCCGAAACTCGCTCCCAAGCCTAGAAGAACAAAATGGAGCTGGCTTCGGGTGCTCTCCTCATTTATCCCCCCCCCCTGTGGGCCCGGATTTCGGTCGCCCGGCCAACCCCCTTGCCCGGGTCGATGGCTTTCCGCCCGCCAGTGGGACTCTCTCGAGTTTTAGCCCTCGAACCCAAGCCTAGTTAGCGGCGTCCCACGGAGGCTGGGAGCGTTAGGGCGGTTTCAAGGGATGGTAATTTACTTCAGCCGGGCCGCCGAGGGTGGTCTGAGGCGGTGGGGGTGTGTGTGTGAGGCATTTGTGAGCCCCTCGCGGCCGGGCCTCCCCTTCCCCCCCCCTCCACGTTTCTCTGCTCAGAAAGCAAGAAACGCGGGCCTGGGCTTTCCCGCCGCCCGCCCCCCTTTTGCGCCCCTTCCGAGCGCCTGAGGAAGGCCGGTGGCGGCAGCGGGGCTTCTCTGGAGCTCCCCGCCAAGCCCAGTAGCTTGCCCGCTGTGTGCCCCCGCGGGCTCTCGGGGGTCTGCTCAGGCCTCCCTTGCCCGGCCTGGACTTCTCTTCTTTCTTTCTTTCTCTCTCTCTCTCTTTCTTTCTTTCCTTCCCTCGCTCCCTCCTTCCCTCCCTCCGTCCCGTGCGCTGGCGGGCTCTGTGCGCGCGGGGCCCGGCGCTTGCCTTTGAAGCGCGCTGCCAAGGCTTTGTGAGCGTGTCAGATTTCCTCCTGGGCCGGGCCTCGCAGGCCAGAACAAGCTCGCTTGTTCTTGGAAGTGGCGCTCCCTGGGTTTCCTTCCCTTCCCTTCCCTTCTCTCTCTCTCACTCTCTCTCGTTCTCCCTCCTTCCCCGCCCCCTGCGTGACTGGCTCTATCCTTGCCCTCCTTCCTTGATGCAAGTCAGACCTTAGGGGCAAGCGGTTGTCAAAATGTTTTTGTTAAGCTGCCTTTAATGCACTTCTGAACGGTTCCAGCTCTGGCCCTCTCCCCCTCACACACACACACATACATACACACAGAGGCACACTCCTCCTATCCTGGCCCTCTTGAGCAGAATGTCTCTTTCTCTCTCCTCCTCCTCACACACATACACAACACACAGAGGCACACTCCTCCTACCCACCCTTTGTATCCCCTGCTTCAATATTGGGAAGAGGCTGGGATTCAGCACCTTCTCCCCCTTGCTTCCTATTTTTTTTCCTTAAAAGAGCTGAGAAAGCCTGAGGATAAAAATCCCTTCTGCGCAACTTGTCCAACTAAAGGTGGTTCTAGTTCTCCTTTCTTCTGCATCATATTCTTTCTCTCTCTTTCAGGCTGCAGTCCTGTGCACACAACTTGGTAGGAACTTAGCAAGGTCTACTTCTGAGTAAACCTGCACTGGATTAGGTTGCACACACCCAAAGCCCTTAGGAGATGCTGCATAACTTCCACCTCCCACCCCCAATAGCAGGAGAGGTGAACTGTTCTTTATTTTGTTACATCCCTTAAAACTTCCTGTTCTGTTCCTTTTCTCTAGCATAGTAAAAAAACAACAACAACACACACACAAAACACACACACAGCAGCAACTTCTTTCTCCCCTACATATAAACAGTAACTTTAAAAAAAGGGGGGGTGGGGGATGTCTCCCCATAATTGCCACGTTTTTGTTGAGAGAAGGTTAAAGGATAAGCTAGCACAGGGCTGATGTGCTGCAGTATTTATTTATTTTGGAAAGAAGGGTGTAATTAACCCCAAATAACAGCCCTTGAAGCTAGCAGAGAGAAGTCTTTTGGCCCCATCAAAGAGGGGCAGAGCAGGGAGTGACTGAGAGTAATGTGCAGTTACAGATACTGAAACTATGTGTCTGATAATGATATAATTAGGGGATCACAGACTTCTGGCTGCTGTCGACTTCAAAAGCTTTAAGAGAAGCCTGCCGTCTCTGCTGTAGCCACCTTGACTAAAAGCAGACATTTTTCTTTAATAGCTACATACAGTAACAAGAAAGAGGAGGGAACAGAAAGAGCATTGTTCAGTGTCTTAAAATACCAAATACCCTCCCTGGCCTTTTGCATAGCTCAGGAAGAAACTTTATGAATTGACAGAAATAAAGTCTTGGTTTCCCCCTGCCCAAAAAGATACTATAATACAAAACCTCCTTTCTGTTCTACCAGAGGGGTAAAAATGTGGTTCTAATTAAAATGGAGTTGTAATAACCTGATGACTAGCCCATCATGTTTTGTTTATAAGATTGTCTTGGGTCAGGAAGAGATAGAATTTTTATATAGGGTTGTATAGTCTACTAGAACAGAAACATGGTTTTATAATTTGTTTCCTCTGCTTGTTACTTCATAAAATGGGAGAGAGTGTAGAACTACAGTAATTTGTAGAATCCCATCCTAGCCTTCCCCCTCCCCCCATCTATCTATAACATATTGTGAGTGTAAAAATCTGGTTCTTTTTTGGATGCTTGCTTAAAAGGGTTGTTTTGAAAAGGGAATTGGGAAGTTGGAGGATGAGGATGGGGAAAACAAAAATTTAAAAAGAGGAGAAGGGCTACAATATTGTATTTTTCGGTTCCAGCTTTCTGCAGAAATTCAGAGTGCCCCAAATAAGATGTGGAATAGGCAACATTAGATTGTTGGTATGACACATCCCTTTAAACAAAATCATCCCGGATATCTAGTTTGATAGAGAGCCTCTTGGGGAATTAAAAAAAAATGCAGACACCATTTCATCTGATTGGTGAAAGATGTCAGACACAGCAAAGTGCTTTCTGTCAAACTGGTTCTTTAAATGTTTAGTAAGCTTCTGAACTTCATGAATCTTTCAATGGGTAAGGCCTCCAGGCCTAGCCTCTCCCCCCTTCCCCCCACCTTACATGCATAGAGAGCAGACATGTATACATCCAGGCACTGTGTCATTTGGGATTGATTAAAGAGGAGCAAGACTTTCCAGTACTCAGGCTGCAGCAGTGCTCAAATCTGCATTGTTGTAAGAAGTGACTTGTAAGTAATCCTAGCATGGTCGTTCTGCTGCAGAACTTCCATCCACCACCCAGGAAGCAGTGTGTGTCTGTACCTTCATAGTACAGCTGTTCATAATTAGTTGAATCTGAGGATCTGTTTTCCAAAAAGAGAAAGAGATCTCTTATGCCTGTTCCTCCCTCAGAGGATCCTCCTTGGCATATAGGTAACACATTTCCTGGGGTGATAGCGGTTTCTGGAGGTTAAGATGAATTCAGTTTTCCCCAACTTACTACATTCCATATTCTGAATTGATAGGGAACAAATTTAAGGGTGAAATGTCTAGAAAAGAGCATGGCTTCCCTATGTAGAAAAAATGAAGACATTTTTGAAGAATGTAAAATGAAGGGTTTTTTTTATGAAAGGGGCTTTTTTTAAAGTCTTCAGATTTTTTTTGGTAAGGTGGTCTGTGCATTTTTTTTCCTTCAAAGAGTAGAGGACTTCATTCTAAATGTTTATCCTTTTTTTGACCACATAATGGATTCGGGGAAGGGAGAACATGTGGTGCTTAAAGAGGGTTTCAGTCTCACTCTTGCACCCTTCCTTCCATGTATGGGCTTCCATTTAAGTTGGAAATGGTTGATTTTGGCAGCTGTACACCCACAATTTTAAATGACAGAGTTCCTGTCTTATAATAAAGATGAAAATGTTATTTTGCCCAATAAGTCTTTGGAATGAGGAAACTGTGGAAAGTGGGATGAATGGAACAAATGGGTTGTATTCAAAGCTTGGAAAAGTAACTTTCCAGCTCCTATGAGCTATAATCAGAGTTACAGAATTCTGGGACTTGTAGTCCAAAAAAAGGAGGACTTTTCCCAGGCTCAGGTTATATAACTGTTGCCGTCAAGTCTTTGTGAATTTCCCATAGGTTTTGTTAGACTAGGGAACAGAATGCCAAGAATAGTCTAATTTGACAGGGAAATTCTTGTGTTACAAAGCTAACATTTTTTTTACTCTGGACGGCCTTCTTTAATGTGTGATTTCTAGTTCAGCATTTAATGGCCAAAACTCTGTTGCTTAGCATAGTAAATTACACTAGTGTTGGCCCATTGAATCATTGGGGAGTTGGTGAATTTACTCCTCCATAAGTTCCAGTGATTCAAATGGGACAATTCTGACTCTGACTTACTTGAACATAGTAAGTCACAACTAGAGTGGGCCCACATGAGCCAATGAAACGTAGAAGTTGATTCACTAAATACCCACTGATTCAGTGGGCCATTGTAGTGCGATTTATTACACTAAGCAACAGGATTTGGGCTAATAAGTAGTTGGCTCAAGCAGTTAAATAATGGAACCATCACTTCTAAAGATAGCAAACTATTTGGCCATTTTGATTATGAATGCATGCATGATGAAATCTAAGTACCTTGTTTCCCCAAAAATAAGACCGAACCTGCAAATAAGCCCTAGTATGATTTTTCATGATGCTTGTAATATAAGCCCTACCCCAAAAAAATAAGCCTCAGTTAAGTAAAACCCTATCCTCCACCATTGTGCAGTAACCAGAAGAAGATGACATGACTGTAAAACAAAACAAAAATAAGCCCCAGTTAAGTGAAACCCTGGCCTCCGCCATTGTGCAGCAGCCAGAAGATGAGATGTGCCTATATTTTAATAAATGTAGATTGTTGTACATGAAAAAATAAAATATCTCCTGAAAATCAGCCCTAATGCATTTTTGGAGCAAAAATTAATATAAGACCCTGTCTTATTTTTAGAGATACATGGTATGTTCTTGTTTACCTGTTTTACATTGCATTGGTGAATAGGTGAAATTGATACAATGTATCCCTTTTTTGTTTTTTAACTTTGGAAAATTAATATTTTATGGGGAAGCATTTGCTGTATAAAAAACAGTTGCAGCAATGGCTAAGAGTAGGCCCTTGTAGTCTTTCTTATAGTTGTCTTAATGTTGTACCTATCAGGTAAACTTTCTGCATTGTGTTGAGCAGTTTCTCTGTACCATAGTGCTTAAAGGGTCTAACTTACATTTTGCTAAGAGGAAGTGAGCAGTAAGTCATCCATGTGCAATCTTGTGGGGCAAAACTGTCGAGATGCGCTATAGTTATCACTGAAAAATCTTTAAATTCTGCTTTGATGGCCATCTTAGATAGAAGGCACTCTGGGATATACTTTTCTTGCAGCACTATATATTTTAAGACACTCACATGCTCTAGCTTTTCTGCTTTAGTATGTGCAGGGACCTCATCATACAGTGGCCTTCCACATCCCCTTTCTGCACTGTGTAAATCTGTGATCTACACAGTGGCATATTGGTGAAAGTGCTGGTCAGGGATTTAGGAGAATAACAGGCGGAAATCCCTACCAAACCATGAAACTCATTGGATAGCCTATAGCCACTCACTTTCTTCCAGATGATCTACTCTCAGTGTCTCTATGAGAATAAGGAGGAGGGAGAGCAGTTCTTCCAGATGATCTACTCTCAGTGTCTCTGTGAGAATAAAGTAAGGAGGAGGGAGAGCAGAGTGGTTCAGTGAAACTTACTTCTGCTGGATTACAGTGCTCATCATTCTTGGCCATTGGCCAGACTGACAGAAGTCGATGGGCTTGAAATCCAAAGCACCTGGAGCAGATAAGGTTGGGAATGGCTTTGTATATTTGTATTATATTCTATCGATTCTCCAAGATGTTCCTCTGTGGATCCAGAACTACATTTTCTGGGGGAATATGATCTCCACATGATGTGGAAGACTTGAGGCTGCCACATGGAAGTCTTTTGTAATGATAACTGAGTAACAACTGTGAGCATGGCAGAGAAATGGTAAATTATCAAATCAGGCATGGTTCTGGGGTGTTCAGACATGGCCCATACAAATGCCTCCTACAGTTACTATTTTTTTAAAGAGACAAACTATGCTGTTCTCCTTGTCGTTTATTTGTTCACTTCCATGATGCCAACTGCTGAATGGCTTTTCATGGGAGATACTCCACATGACTCGCATCACAATCCTTAGTCATGATCTGTATAAAAACAAATGGTTGTAAATGCCCATGACGTAACATATCTGATTCCCCCCCCTTTTGTTGTTGTTGCAGGTGAAATTAGATGCTACTGTGATGCCGCGCACTGTGTCGCAACAGGTTACATGTGCAAATCTGAGCTCAATGCTTGCTTCTCTAGACTTCTTGACCCACAGAACAGCCATTCTCCACTTACTCATGGCTGCTTAGACTCTCTTGCAAGCACGTCAGACCTTTGCCGAGCCCACCTGGCCCAAAACCACTCTGGCGCTACTGTACCCACGTTGGAGTGTTGTCATGAAGATATGTGCAATTACAAAGGTCTCTACGATGTCCTCTCTTCTTCCAGAGGAGAGCTTCCGGGTAAGCAGAGCTGTCGCCTGTGTCCTAGGACGAGGCTTACTTGCAACAGCCAAGACTCTCTTTTAAAAAAAGCTCTTTTCTTCTCTCCTAATGATTTTTGCCTTGAATGTAGGCAGGTCGGGGAAGCATGTGCTGAGAGGTACCTCTGCCAAATAACCTTTGTGTCTCATTTGTATGAGACACAAAGGCTGTTCCTTCGTCTCTTGACAAATATGGCATCTAACCTGGGAAATCTTGTTTAGGGAGAGGCACTAGTTTAAAATTAAATGTGTCCCAATATAGACTGGCAAAAATAACACTGTTTTTAATGGAGAAGTGCTGGAGGGGGAACAACATACTTCAAATCCTGCTGTCTGTCAACTCCCTCTCTCACCAAAGTGAGAAGATGAATGAAAGAAAGAGAGAAAGTGTGGGAGATCCAAGATCTGTTTAAAAGCCAGTTGAATCCAGGAGCGGCGGCCCCCAAAAAGTAACTTTTGCAAGCTCTGTTTAAAATTAGGCAGACAGTTGGCCTGACTCAGCAGTCTTGATGGTGCAGCTCAGGTGATGCCCTGCAGGTTGAGGGAGCATCAACTGACTCTCTTAACTCTGGGTGTATCCATTTAATTGAATCGGTGGGGGCCAGGTGGATTCACAACATCAAAGCTAATGTTTTGTTGCATAGCAGGTTGGATCTGCCTTGGTGATCTGTGACTCTGCAGGATGTTTCTGGTTTCTTCAAACCTAGAGCTTTCCTATTGATTCGGGCTTTGTCTCCATGCTAGGATGTACTCTGTTCTTCATTTCTGTCAGTTTCTGTCTTTGATATTTGACTCCATGTTTAATGTATCATTCTGTTTTGTTAAGCAGAAATAGAAGGCAAAGTGCATATCACTTAAATGAATTGTTACGTATTTTGTGTTATACCCACTACAGTTTTACTTGATTCTGAGCTAATAAAGATTCAGTTGCATTTTAAAACCAGAATTTTAGAGAGCCAGTGTGATCTAGTATTTAGATTTGTATTGGACCACATCTTGGAGCTTCAGCTTTTAGTCCCCACTGAGCCATGAGCCAGGTGACATTTGCCCAGCCCCTTCTCTCAATCTAGCCCATGAACCCAATTTTATCAGGTTCTTGCATGCTTTAGATTTCTGACCGCAATGCCTGAGGTTGAGAGTTCAATTCCCCATTGTGCCTCCTGCAGGTAGAGCCAGCCTGTGTGGTCTTGGGGAAACTGCATAGTCCCAGGGATGGGGGTAGAAGAAGGGAATGGTGAATCACTTCTGAGTATTCTCTATATTCTGGAAAACCCTGAAAAGGCTCACCATAAGTCAGAATAGACATAATGGCACATGATGATGATGTGAGGATAAAAGGAGGAAGAAAGTCTTGGCGTTCACTAGAGAAGAGGTTGGGACATCTATTTTCTTTTGGAAGTTGAGGAAACAACATAATTTTATTAGGAAAACACCATGCTTCTAATTTTGAAGAGGGATCAAGAGGCATTTATGCTTGTTTATGCAAAAGGTAATTTAATAAGCCTCTTACTGTATAAAGCTTTGCTATATGCCTGGCTCTTTTGCTTGCATGCAAAAACTGCCATTTCAGGAGTAAATACTATTAAATCGCTCTCTACGAAGTCCTTCCTGGCTTGCAAAGCAGTTCATAATTCTCATTCTTGCAGTCTCCTAAAGAAGGTGAGACTGAGAAATAGCAGTGCACCCAAGACTCACTATGTAAACTACATAGCTGGGGCCATTTCATGAATTGCACATTTCAGATATTGCCCTGTCTGCCTCTACTCTGTATACGTTGCTCTGCTTAACAAAACAGAATACTGACTAGAGTTTAGAAAACCTTTTTGGATTACAGCTCTTTCAGCTATTGTGATTAGTAATTTTTCCAAGATGACCTATTGCTTTTCAGTAATGGGAGCATCTCTGATCATGGAAGTAACCTTCCATTTTCTGCAGAAGTTCTAACCATAGTGGCACATTGTTGCATAAATAGCTTCAACGTGGGGGGATACATTTGGTCTACTGTATTTTTCAATCTACAACACCCACAGTCCCTTACCACTGGGCATATGGGGGATTGAAGTTGAATACATGTAGATGACAAAAGATTCACATTCATTCTGCTACAGCAGGCGTTGACACTAATAAATCCAGGTAAAAGCACTTCGTTGGATTTCTTTAAGTCCAGGATATGGTGGTCTGTGCCCAAATTTAGAGGGGAATGGAGGGGGATATCTCTGAATGAAATATTATACCCATCTCATCAGTTTTAGTAAACATTGGCTGAAATATTGTTGCTTGGTTTAGTGAGTTGCACTAGAGTAGGCACCATTGAATTTGGGATTTAGTGAGTCAACTCTACAGTGTTTGTAAGTTCAATTGATTCAAATGATCCTAGTCTAGTTGTGACTTCTCTGTTGAATCAACAGAACTGAATCCCAATGATTCAGTACATCTACTCTATAGCAAATTACTACACTAAGTAGTAGAACTGTAGTCTGTCTTACCTCCTCCTCCCCATTAGCTAAAGGTACATCATTAAAAGTTGGGGTTAGCTTTCCCCCTCTTTCCTCTCAATTCAAATAGTGGTATGGCTCAGTATTTATTCTAATTACGATTTGTTTTCTAATGTCCTTGTATGGTATGAAGAAATAAAAAACAGAACATGATACTAAAACAATACAAATACAGAATCACAATTCTCAAAGCATAGTCGTAAATATCTGTAAAACAAATAGTACTAAGAGTTTTCAGGACACCAGTCAATACAGCATAGAAGAAAATAACAGTCATCAAAGGGTTGCTTTTTTAATTGAAAAAAGATTGAATTCCATGAACTGTAAAAGCAAAGTAAAGTTCACAGATACAGGGCCAATGCTAAGAATGTCTTGCTCCAAGTAGTCATAAATCTAGCATTTCTTGATGATGAGTCTGAGAACCGGCCCCATTATTAATAAGTAAGTGGAGTTACTTTCTGTCTTGAAAAAATTAAAATATTTTTCACTCTCCCCCCTCCTTTTTTTTCTGGCAGGTCAAGGGAGCAGGTATCAACATGACAACAGCCGAAACCTCATCACAAAGGTGCAAGAGCTTACCTCCTCAAAAGAACTGTGGTTCCGGGCCGCTGTCATTGCGGTCCCCATAGCTGGTGGGCTGATATTGGTGCTTCTCATCATGCTGGCTCTGCGCATGCTCAGGAGTGAAAACAAGAGACTGCAAGACCAGCGGCAGCAAATGCTGTCACGACTGCACTACAGCTTTCATGGCAATCATTCCAAAAAAGGGCAGGTGGCCAAGTTAGACTTGGAATGCATGGTCCCCGTGATGGGTCATGAGAACTGCTGCATGGCGTGTGACAAGATGCGGCAGCCAGACCTCAGCAATGACAAAATACTTTCACTGGTTCACTGGGGAATGTACAGTGGGCATGGAAAGCTGGAATTTGTATGATCCCGTCCTTTGGGTTTTAAATATATGTATGTATGTATTAAAAGGTCTGTTGTTAAAATTACTAGGAAATTTTTGCAAAGACTTTTGGGTTCTGCTGGACAGGAGCACTTTATATGGGGAGAAGCCTACAGTCATGAAATCATTTTTTAAGAAAACAAAGAATGTTTGACAATTGAACCTTGGATATGTTTTCTGAAGGATTCCAAACATTGTCTTATTTGCACAGAATAAATACACTCAAATGTACTGTTTGCTTTAAAATTATGAAAGCAAAAATGAGGAGTTACACACACTGTTACCAGGGTCATTTGAGCTGGAGGGAGATGTGAAATGAGTTCTACTATTAAAACTGTATGCAAGTTCTGATGTAAAGATTTTTTTAAAAAAAACACACAAATACATATTATATATATATAATATTTGTCTGAAACCTATTTGTGGTTTTGTGTATGAAGCAGTTTATTATACAGCAGAAGCGCCATGAAGACATTGGCTTGGAGTCCCACACGTATTCATGTAATGTGAACCTAAGAGTATACCCCAGTGATATAAATTTCCACCCCTCCTTTGTTAGCCTTCCATTGCTTAAAAAGTCCAAAATAATTTTCTTTTGTCATAAGCCCTATTTTTTTGTGGCTGCTTTGTCTCACTATTGTGTTCTTGGAGATATAACATGCTGTCTTTGATATTTGTGGAGAATCTATAATTTCCATTTCTATTTTTGCACAGTATTAAAGACATGTTCCAGTCTTGCTTGGTGGTGGTGGGAAAGAACATTTTCCAGATGTTTTGGACATCAGTTCCCAAAATCCCCTACCATTGGCCATGCTGGCTGTACCTTGTGGGGAAATAAGTTCAAAACAGCTGGAGGACTCCGAAGTTTAGAATGTCTAGAAGAGGACAAGCCTGCCCAGGTTCTGTACTTCGATTCTACATCTAAGCACCTACCCTTCTGGCCATGTGTATGAATAGATGGGTTCTTCAGATCACTTAGCTGGAAAGGATACACAGAGCAGGAACACATGTTCACAGATTGTTTGGGTGATGAACGACTTGTGTCATGTAGCGGTTAGAGTGATGAAGTAGAACTGAGGCAGTTTGAGCCCAAATCCTTACTCGTGGCATGAAGCTCTTTGGGTGGCCTTGTTGACTTTATGCCTAACATTTCTCACTGGGTTGTTATGAGGTTAAAAAGGGAGAGGAGGGCCTTGAATGTGAGTTTGATCTTCTCAGAGGAAAAGAGATAAAATATATATACCTTGAAAAACTCTACAGGGCTTTTTTCATGGATATGATGAAGCCAGTGTTACTGTACTGCTATCCAGTGGTGGCTTTTTGGAAAGGAAAAAGCGTTTTCCCCTTGTGTGTAAAGCAAGGCATCAAATTTTGGCAGATCCTCTGTACTTTCTGTATCCTGTCCTACACTATCCCAGGAGTTGTCCAACTGAAATGAACAGGAGGGGACTGTAGTGGGTAGGGGTGAGGAGCAAAAAAATTGAATGGCTCCTCTTGAGCAAGCTGAAGCGTCTTCAGCCATCTTTGAATTAAAACCCTTATTGTGAAATATGCAACCAGAGGAAATGTTAGCATCTAAAATGCTCTGGCAAATTTAGTTCTAAGCTGGCATAGAAGATAACTGTAAAACTGGTGCTAGGCATACTTCATTGGGAATGCTCTTCCAAAACCATGACACAATCACAGGAAAGGCACTTCCTTTAATATTTTTCTTTAGGAAGGCATATAGAGAACTGACTCTATTAGAATTTCTTGGGATATGTGTATTTGGTGTGGGCTACTACAGGGCAAGAGATCAACTTCAAATATTGGAATTAAATTGGCTTCATGCACAATTATATGTTAAAGCCCGTTCTATAATGTGAAGTAACTTTGTTCATGTGATCTAGAGAAACGTAGGTGTGCTTATGCCACTGAAATGGATGGCACTTCAGGGAGACTAATTATGAGAAGATGGGAGGTGTGAGTTACATTTGAACTATTTTAGAGGCATTCAGAAGCCATGCTTGGTTCTATAAGGGCCATACAGTCAGACAGCCCTAAGAAGGAAGAAATAGGGTTGTGTCAATGTTCAGGTGTGAGTTACATTTGAACTATTTTAGAAGCATTCAGAAGCCATGTTTGGTTCTATAATGGCCATACGGTCAGACAGCCCTAAAGAAGGAAGAAATAGGGATGTGCCAGTGTTTTGATCTAGCAGGAGAGACCTAAAGACAGAAGTATGGCATAAGCCCATGATAGGAATATATGAATCACATGGCGATACTATATTAAGTCATCTGTCCATCCTGTTTTCTACTTTTGACTGGCAGGAGCTTTCCCAGATCTCAGGGAATAGTCTTTCTCATCACCTGCTCAAGAAGCCAGGGCTGGAGTCTAAGATCTGCCCCATGCAAAGTACAAGTTCAGCCATTGAGCTATTGCTCTGTTCCGGTTTATCTGTGTGCCAGTCTTTGCACGGATATTCAGTAGATGGACCAGGGTAGCTTGATACCAAAGGCATTACTTCGCATGAACTGAGAAGCCCATTTTCTTTGGGAGACAGGAAAGGGTGCCATGCCGTGTTTCTTAGGTCTCTCACTGGCACTCTTCAACATATGACTGCCCAAAAGACTGTTACGATTGGTTGTGTCAACTGGGACATTTAGCCGTCTTGAACTCAAATGTCCCTCATGATAAATTCCTGTGGTAAGCAAAAAGTCGTGTACATTTCCCCTCCATAACAAGCCTGTGAGGTAAATTGGCTGAAGAAAGAATGATTGGCAAAAGGTCAACTGGGTGATTTTTGTGGTTGAATGGTGACCTGAACTGGGATCTCACAAATCCCAGTCCATCATTTGAACCACTTTACTTTCATTCCCACCTTGGATGTGTAATTTGGCAATTTGCATTTTCCCACAGGAAACAGTAAAAGAAGTGCAGAGTTGACCAATACTGAAGAATATATTTGAAGACATTTAGGCACACATAGGAAAGCTCCTGTCCAAAGGCAACATGTTTCTTACACCAGCATGATGATGTCAATGATGATGTGGATATGTGGTGCTCTCAAACTATTCCAAATTACAGAGACCAGCTCAAGGGTTTTCTAGGTATAAAGTGGCTTCCCCTTGGGAATCCTGTAATTACCAGGGAATGAACCCTACTTGAATGTTCTGGGACTGACACATACAAGATTGCTCTGTTAGATTAATATATAGCTCTGTGATTCTAGGAGGCTGATCAGGTGAGCAATTGTGCTCAGAACCACATACAATTCATGCATTTTGATATCTGTAAGGACAGAAGCGAAAAACCATATAGGAAAGTCTAAAATCCAATGTCCGACCATAATGTATTTTAAAGGATAGTTCTGAGTATATTTAGCTCACTTTGCAATTGGTTTTACTGAGTGCAGCAGGACTGATTTCTGAAGGAAATAAGCTTGGGCTACCATGCGTGCTTTGTGTCCCTCCCTCCTTTTTGCCTGATTTTTTTCTTCTTCTCCTAGGCAGTAAAGGTTGTGGCTTTTCTGTCTCCCAGCAACTGTATGTGTCTTCTTGACTCCTGCTTAACTGATTCTATTAAAAAGCCCTTACACGACAGGGGGTTTGACCTTTTCCTGAAATACCAAGTGTGTCTACTTTGGAAATCACAAAGGCCCCCTCCTCAAAAGGGCCTGTAAATCTGGTTTCAATATTGGGTGATTACAGGCTGAGCGGGAAGCATGAAAGTAACCAGCCGCCTCTGGTAGCTATGCACTGGACAGACTTATCTGGGTGGCGAATCTGGGGCTTGCAAGCTATCTTACTGATTCCAGTGTTTACAGCTGCCAAAGCCAATAAATTCAGTCCAGATTAACTCACATGTAACAGATCAGAATCCATCCCGTAAGGCTCAGGGGGGAAGCCTTTGGTTTCCTTTCCTTTAGGACAAAGAGTAACAAAGATTCCACACACACCCCTCCCCACACCCTCTGGTTTTCCTTTGCATACCAACCCTTCTTGGAGGCTGCTGGAAGCAAACCTTTTGTTCTCCTCCACACAAATCAAGCGGCAGTTTTATTACAAAGTAAAAGCGGTTTAATTACATGCCTTTAAGATTTTAGCCACGTTTTCTAACATTTCAAACTTGCAGGCTGAAATCCTATTGCACTTGGCGCAGTATAAAGTTCTGCCTGTAGAAATTAGGAGGAGGTTACACCCAGGGAATTCGCATTGTGAGCTTCATTGTGCAATGGATTGCACAACTAGATGTACAACTGTGCCTGTGGAAATGCTTGCTGGATAAGACTGCTGCCTTCACTTGAATGTCACAATCACTTGTGCAAGGTCCAGTTACAGTATGCAATGGGATTTTGGCCACAGTATTTTATTTACATTTTGTTTTTACAAAGTTCTCCAAACCGGCATAGTGGGACAGGTAGGTTTGTTCCCTTCTGCCTTCACTTGAATGTCACAATCACTTGTACAAGGTCCAGTTACAGTACACAATGGGATTTTGGCCACAGTATTTTAATGAATTTATTTATATTTTGCTTTTACAAAGTTCTCCAAACCGGCATAGTGGGACAGGTAGGTTTGTTCCCTTCTAGCAGCAAATGTTGTACTCTCTAACTTTTCTGTGGGCAGAAATCTGGTAGTGCCTGCCCACAGACACATACCTACAGACACCTTCGTTATGCTCATCTGCAACAAGTCTAATCCTCCAAGGTTCCTTGGATCCAGACTTAACTCTTCCAGGCCTTCATTTCCTGTTACAGTGCTTCCTGGATGTGGTAGTCCCTATAGGCTCTATAGAACAGTGATCCCCAACCTTGGGCCTCCAGATGTTCTTGGACTACAACTCCCAGAAGTCTTCACCACCACCTTTGATGGCCAGGATTTCTGGGAGCTGAAGTCTAAGAACATCTGGAGGGCCAACGTTGGACAAGCCTGCTATAGAAGATGACTCTCAAAGAACTACCACCGCCAGGAAAGGTTGGGGACCACTGCTATAGATGACTCTCAAAGAACTACCACTGCCAGGGAGCACTACGGCAGGAAATGAAGACCTAGAAGGCCTAGCATAGCTAACTCGGGATCTATGGACCCTTGGAGAACCAGGCCTATTGCAGTTGACCAAAATGAAGGTCCCTGTAAGTGTGGGTCAGGAACTCTCCTTGGGGAATCCTTGGAAAATTCAGGGCGTTGGAGTCTGAAAAACTAAACAAAAAGATATGGCTCACCCCCAAGTATGACTTTGCTTTTTGACTCAGCTTGGACAGTTTAACTGGCCAGTCTTTAACTGGACATAAGGCCATTTATTCTTTCTCACTCTAACTTACTTCAGACGACAGTCTCAATGATAATCCCACATACACTTAGAAGAATGCTGGGAAGTAATGTGATAAATAAATAAGAGCAAACTATGCTCCTTTATTCAGTA